CAGTGCCAGACTGCCCATACCATGCGCTAAACCTGTTGCCCTGAGGCAGTGGCAGAGAAGGCAGAGTTCTCTCTTTATCTGAGTCCCCTGTCCAAAGACAGACTGAAGCCCCCTTTCTGTTAAAAGCAGGTTTAAAAAACACTTCAAATGAAATCTAGGTGTCCAGCAAAAAGAAAACAAAGCTCTGAATTCGGGAGGACTCACCGCTGTGCACCCAGGAAACCTCTGGAGGGAGGGGAGCACGGTGGGTTCTGCTCATACCACCCCAAGTCCTGGAAGGAGCCCCGGGTGGTCAGGGAAGAGGGTCACCGAAGGCTGCTGAATTACGCCAGATACGCTGACCTAATGGAAAAAACTGAGGCAAAACTAATGTGAAGTCCAGAGTTTATTGGAGCCAGGCTTGAGGACTGCAGCCCCGGGGCACAGGGTCAGGCAACCCTTTACGTTCACGCCTTCCAGGGAGGCAACGTGGGTCATGGAACATCTCGAAGGAACTCGCTGATCCATTCAACAACCCCTGCACGCAAGGCTCAAGCGCTGACCAGGGTGCCTGCCCAGCCGCAGGGGCAGCTCCACAGTGTCGTCCCGAGGTTGGCCACATGGACGGCAGGAAGAGCGTCCCAGCAGAGGGATCAGCACACAAGGGGTCTGGGCAGGAAACACCAGGCATTGGAGACAAGTTGGGGGCTGGTGTGCCTGGAGAGCCAGGGGGCTGGAGGAAGGTGAGGCTGGGTTTTGAATGGGGACCTTGGGCTCCAGAGCAGATACTGGGGGAACAGGCTGTCATGCTTCTGATGGGGGCCAGGAGAGGGAAGAAGCCACGGCCACTGTCCAGGAGCTCCTGAGCAGTGTCCCCACCCAGACCCCAAGGCCTTAGTGACCTCCAAGGAGAGTGGTCCAGCCCTTACAGGGCCACAGCCTCTGCTGGCCCCTGCCCTTTCCACCTCATCCCCACAGCCTGAGCCTGAGCCTGCCACTGCGGGGCCCCGTTAGCCAGGCCCAAGGGCAGAGGCCAGGCCTGGGCTCCTGCTCAGTATTGCCTTGGTGGCCCCTCCAGTCTGCATCTGCGGACTTCCTCCCTCCAGCCTGTCTGACCTCAGCCTTCAGCCCCCTACAAGTCACCCAGCGCCTGGGGCCATGTGACCCCCAGTGGCCATGACGGTCCGCTGAGGCCTGTGCTCCAGCCCCGGGTTCACAGGTACCTGGAAGGCACCAGAACACCGTCAGCTTGGAAGGGTCAGGACTGGGCTCTAGGCAGCAGCCTGGAAGGTCTGGGAGACCATGGCACGCGCTCTAGGTGGGGGCTGGGGGGCCTAGAGCCCCCTCCCCACAACAAGGGGAGAACCCCGCAGGCAACAAGGTGCTTCCTCTGCCAGCGCCAGCAGCAGAGCACCTATATCAGCCCCAGGTTGGCACCAAGGCCCATTTTACAGAGAAGGGAACTGAGGCTCGGTCAGGTCAGCCTGTGGGGCAAGAGCGGAAACCCAGACCTGGCGGTCCTCCCTGGCCGCCCACCCCCGCCTCTGGCCCCTGCTTCCCTAAGCGCCCTCCTCACCGGAGACCCCCGCCCCAGCTGCCCCCGTGCCCGGCCTGGCCAGAGCACGGCGGCCGAGACTCCAGATTTCAGAGGCCAAGCTGAGAGGCGCCCAGGCCTCCGCCGCTTGGATACTCAGGTTTGAGGAGGGCACACCAAACACGGGGAACATTGGCAGGGCAGCCCCACCCACGGCGGAGCTGGGACCCGCGAGCCCACGCCCAAGCCGGACGCGCGGGGTCTCCTCCGAGGCCGTCGGGGCGCTCCTATCCCACCGCGGCCACCCCGAGCCCGAGTCCGTGGGGAGGAAGATCAGGGGCGCGGGGAGCCGGCGAGCAGCCCAGCGGAACCCCGGGACGGCGCGGGCCTGGCCACGGTGGGAGGGAGCGGGCGGGGTGGAATGGAGCTGCGGGTGAGACGGAGCGGGGGGCGGCGGGGCGGCTGCTCTTATGAAGCAGAACTACAGACCGGGAGGCCGGAAGAAGAAGGACGAAAAGTAGAACGGTCCCCAGACCCACAGGGCGCCCAACGGGGGCTCCACAGGAGGCCGGGAGGTGGGAGTGGCAGAAAAGCGCCCTAAGCCCCAGGCTCGCCGTGCCAGCATCTTCCACACCCCGTGCAGCCCTGCGTCCCAAAGACCCCAGGGCAGGAAGGGAGAGGGGCTGCGGGGGACCCCTGCGGCCAGCTCCTCCCAGAGCCTTGGCCCGGGCAGCCTCCCTGCAGTTTCCACTGGGGGAACACTCGGCCTGCAGGGGCCCCTGAGAAGCGCAGATCTCACCCTCCTGGGCTTCACAATCCCGTGTGGGGTGGTGGGGTGTCAGGAAAGAAACAGACAAACAGCCCGGGACCCCTCAGGGACAAACGCATCGAAGAAAAGGCGGGGCTGGGGGTGTGGGCACGCGCTCGGAACCCAGCTGCAGGCTCTGGGCTCTGTGGGCCGGTACCCGCGCTGTGGGCCATGCTACTCAGGAGGCCCAGTGAGGAGGATGGCTTGAGCCCAGGAGGTTGAGGCTGCAGGGGGCTGTGATGGGGCCCCTGCATTCCATCCTGGGTGACAGAGCAAGGCCCTCTCTAAAAAATAAACTAATTATTTAAGGAGGGACACGGGGCTGCAGAGTGAGGCCGGTCACGGGGCAAAGAGTGCGTCGGTGCAGAGGGCGCATGCACAGGCCCTGCGGTGGGAAGGGTGACCTGCAGATGAACTGTGGCAGCGGCTGCCTTCCAGAGAAGCGGACACAGTGTCCCTCCCACACACTTTTCTACACAGCAGCAGGGAGCAGAGGGCATAGGATCCAGAGAAAGGCAGCTCTGGGCTAGAGTGCAGGTGGGCAGTGGGGATGCCCAGCTGGCTGGGAGGAAGGCAGGGCCCACAGGGAACACAGGGACAGGCCCTGGGCCAAGGGGATGCCCTGACACTGGAGAAGGTACAGATATAAGGGGGGAATGCAGGGAAGATCAGGGAAACAGCAGGTCCAGGGAAAGACAAGATGTCCCAGAAAGAGACTGCAGTGCCAGGTCACTGCTCGGCCATGCCAGGGTTGACTCATCCTGGAGTTGCTGAGCCCCTGGCAGGAAAGCCACGCCATGGCTCCAGGACTGAATGTGAATGCCACTGGCCCTGCCAACGCTTATGCCCAAGCTCCCTCCACTCTGCTCCTCCCAGGCCTTCCCCGCTCCTCAGGGACCCTGTGGTCCTCTTGCCTTGCTTGACCTTGGTAGCATGAGACACACCTGTGGCTGCCTGGGATGCAGCTTGGTTCTCTTCCTGCCTCACAGCTGCTGATCACCCCTAGGGGCCCTCTTCTCTCCTCTGCCCCCAAACAGGCCACAGGGGATCCCAGACTTCTCTCTCCAGCTCCTTTTCCAGGCGTACCCGCCCAGTGGCCTCCCAGACCCCCATGACCACTCCCACCCCCCACCCAAATCCCACAGGCTCTACTTGCAAACACACCTGGAATCCAGCTGCCTCTTACCCTCTGCTGCCATGGGGCCGCTCTCCTTCTCAGTCTGCCGTCACCTCCTCACAGGCCCCACGAATCCCTTCCCTACCGCCAGCCAGAAGCTCCTGTCGCCAAACCTTGTCCTTGCCCCAGCCCCGCAAGGCCTAGGAGGAAGCCTCTCCACCCAGTGCCCCACAGCCAAGCCTGGTTCGTGTCCCCACCATATCCCAGAGGGCATCTCCCCAGGGCTCCGTGACAAGTATGCTCCAGACTCTGTCTTTTATAGTAATGGAGACCTCACCCTGTGCCAGGACACACAGCTGCCCATAACACAGGACACTGAGTTATATTTGAATTTTTAGATAAACAATGTTTAGTGTGAGGAATCCCTAACACTGCAGGGATAAACAAGAATCTGGCTGTTCCTGGACTTGACTGGCTAAATCTGTCAATATAAGCCTAGAAATACGGCTACGTTCCTGGCCTCCCTTGCAGCTAGAAAGGCCACGTGAGGAAGGCTGACCAATGGGACATGAGCACCACCTAGGCCACGCCCCTAAAGACATGGCCCAGCCTCCCAGCCTCTGAGCAAGTGCTGGTGGCTGGCACTGGTTCCTGCCCCACACCCCACCCTGCCTGGGCCTGCAGTGATGTCAGGCCCCTCCTCTCCCTGGCCTGCATTAGAGGGTGCAGACATCCTCCCAGCTGGACACCTGACTCAGTCTCTCCACGGGTGCCAGCTCCAAGGGATGACTCTGTTCACTGTGGATACCAGGCATGGCCAGCTCCACCGGCCTGAGGCAGGGCGGGGCTGGGGCCCCAGGGCCAGGGAACCAAAGCCCCAAAGGCCAAGTCCCACCTAGGGCACATGGCAGTCACTTCTGGCCTGCTGTTCACCTGGATTTGTTCCTAACCACATTCCTGCATTACTTTGATAAAAGGCTCTAATTTTACTGAAAAAGCATTTACAGAACGAATGAAAAGAGGGAGGTGCCTGCTTCAGCTGGAGGTCACTTGCTGGGTGCTGTGTGCACATGTGTGTGGATGGGAGGACAGCCTCATCAAGTTCCCACTCAGAGCTCCCCGGTGACCACGGGCTGGGCTCAGGGCTACAGGTGGGACTGGCAGGGGAGCTGAGGCTGTGCAGGGTGGCCCTGCCCTCTCTCCCCAGGACCCTCTGTCTCCCAGTCTCAGGCAACTGGTCCACCAGTTCAGTGGTACAGGAGCCTGGAGGGGCTCAGCCCTGGGGCAGCTGCTCTGGGGACTCAGGGGGGTCAGGCCGATTTCTACACTTTCCCAGCCTCAAAACAAGGGCAGGAAGGCAGGGGAGCAGGTCCAAGGAAGCACAGGTCACTGAGGTCAGACATGTGTGTCTACCTCTCCGTATGGGCACTGGTGTGGGAGAGCAGCCAAGAGGGCTTGCCCAGGTGGAACAGCTGGGGAAACCCAAGCCCAGAGAGGGGCCCAACCCAGGACTGCTGGGGGCGACGCAGGGGCTCTGATGGCCAGAACAGGGAAACAGGACACAGGTGTGCCACTGGGCATTTATTGACATGGAGCAGCGTGGTCCTCAGCGCCCTGCTGGCCAGCAGGCACACAGGGCACGGCGTTCTGCCTGCAGCAGTAGGGTCTCCGTCTGCAAAGCAACAAGAGGTGTGAGGGTGCAGCCCAGCTGCCCACTGGCATTCCCCTGGACCTCCACCCACCCAAGGCAGCCCTATCTCCACCGGCTCCTGAGACAAACAAGGTCAGGCCCTGGCTCTAAGCCCCACACCCAGAGCCTCCCACTTGTCTCTTCCCTCTGCAGTGGCTCCCACTGGTGGGGCCTGCCTGGGGTCTGCTGGTGCCCATGCCATGCCAGAGTGCCCACTTGCCTTCTTCCAGCTCCCACACCACCCGCAGGGGTCCGCTGTCCCCCACTCCCTCCCACCCCCATGCCTAAGGATAGGTGGGGGCTGCTCCTCCCAAAAGCTCAGCTCCAGCCTCTGGGAGTGGGGACAGGGCTCCAGGTCTTAGTCCAAGCCCTTTGGAGTGTTCCCAAGAAGGACACTAGGGCTGGTCGGTGGGGGGGACCAGGCAGGGTCTTCCCTGCTTTCTCCTTCCTAGAATTTTCCCTTTCCGGGAAGAAGCAGGAGCCCCGGCACAAACCAATACTCCTTGGCTGCACCCCATGGCCTGGGGGCTCCCTGTTCACCCAGGCTTGGAGGGGCCTTAGCCAACCTGTGCATCCACCCAGGATCCAGACCACCCTGCCCAGCCTGACCCCCATTCCTGACACTTTGGCCACATCCTCTGGCCTCAGTTTCTCCTCTGCCCCGGGGCCTCACTGCCCACCTAGGGGATCCTGGATTGGGCTGACAGTTCTTCCTCAGGGTCCAGGTCTGTCACAGCCCTCGGGAGTGGCAGTCATAGGACAAAGTGCCCAGTGAGGGCCTTCTGGGGGAGGGGCTGGAAACAGAGCATGCTGGAGAGAGGCGTGTCTCATAGGTGAGACAGGTGCCCAGAATGCCCCTTGGATGACTGGAGCCAGAGGAAGGGGGCACAGGTGTGGCGTCTTAAATCAGAGGTAAAGGATGAGGGACCCTCCACTCTTCCCCGGGGGCCTCCTCCGCATCCTTCCTGCCCTCCCCACCCCCGGAGAAGCCCGGGAGGACCGTTGCGCTGCGGGCGCTCACCCGCGCGTCCAGGCTGCAGGCTGTCTTCCGCAGGTCCTGCAGGGCGCGCTGCATGAACTCGAAGGCGTGGCAGTCCACGCATGGGCGGCCTGCGGGGAACGCAGGTCAGGGTGGAGGGGGCGCAGGGGGGGTCACCCGCAAGGCCCCCACGCACCCTCTGCCCGTCCACCCAGAGCCACAGAGCGCGCGTCCCCACTCCCCACGGCACCATCTCCCGCGAAGGGGAGGACCCGCTCCCGGGAACAAAGGCGAGGCGCGGTCCTCCCCGCGGACCGGCCCCGCACGCCCCCGGCGCCAGCCCCGCCCCGCTCCTCGGAACCCGGCCCCCTAGCACCTACTCTGCGCGGGGACGGCGCTCCCGGCGGGCTCGGCGCGGGCCCGGGCACCCAGCAGGGCCAGACTCAGCAGCAGCAGCAGCAGCGGCGGCGGCGGTGACATCGGGGACCGGCACGCGGGCGGGGGGGCCATGGCCAGCGGAGGGAGCGGGGCCGCCCTGAAGCCACCGAGGGGTCAGCGGCGCCCGCCCCGGGCCGGTAAGCCCCCGTCCCCTCCCGCAGGCCCGCTACCCTCGTCCACGCCCCAGGCCGGGGAGCCCTGGACCCACCCACCCCGGGCCAGGGAGCCCCCGCCCCACCCCCGGCTCCCTGACTCCAGTTGGCCGGTCCCTGGGCCCAGCTAGCCTCTAGTCCGCGCCCCCTATCTTGAAAACCCCCATTCGGACGCCCGCACCCCCGCCCTTACCGCGGTTCAGGGACCCCAGGACCAGCAGCGCGGGCGACACCGGCAGACGTTCCGCGTCCGGCGCGCACCGCGCATGCGCTCCGACCCGACCCCGCCCGGGTTCCCCATCAGACGTCGTCGTCATGGAAACCCGAGACTGCGCTGGCCACGCGTTTAGAGGCACCTAGGACGCTCCAGGAATCGGGGGTGCCTAACCCTGGCCGGGGGCTGCCCCGGAAGCAGCGTCCAGGCCCATGGCCGATGCAGTCTAGAGGGCTGCCTGGAGGAGGCGGCGCCAGGGCGAGACCTCCAGGACGCACTGCCGGCGAAGCAAAGCTGAGGAAGTGGGAGATCTTTGGCTGGATCTCAGCAGGTCGGGGGCGATCCTGAGGGAGCTGCTAGATGTTCGCGAGTGGCGGGGAGCGGTGCATGCAAAAGCCTGGCCTCCGACCCCGGGCGGGTAGTGTCCAGTGTGGGGTCGCGCCGCCCGGAGAGAGCTGGCCTGGGGGATCAGCTCGGGGGATCGGCCCTCGCCCGGCCTTTCCCTGACCCAGCCTCTCGTTGATCCTCGGGCGTCAGGGTGGGCACCAGCCTCCTCGGTCCCTCCCGGCTGCCCACCCCTTCCCCAGGGTCCTCCTCTCCGCCTCTCGGTGTCCTCGGACCCCGGAGAACCGCTTGCCGGGAGCCCCAACCACAGGTCCTCGGCCTCTCTCTGCCGATTTCAGCCCCATGAACTCAGGGCTGTTGGCCTTAAAGAGCGCGGTGCCGCCAGTGGTCCCTGGGGGCGCCCGGCAAGTGCGAATCTGGGCCCCGGACGCCCTGGGAGAGATGGTCTCAGACGTCGGAGCCAGGCCCCACGCCGACACCTACACAGGCCGTGGCCTCTGCAGAAGGCGCCCCCCCCCCCGCCCCCGCCACAGCAGTCCGCCCTTTTGCCGGGAGCTCAGGGACTAACCACACCTCCCGCCAGACCCTCTTCTTGGTGGGCGGAGCCGCACCCCTACCGGGAGGCCGCCCCTCTCGCCGTGCAGGACCCCCAGCCTCGGGCGCCCTCTCCGCCGCCTAGCCGACTTCTATCCCCAACCTCTGGGCTTCTGGCCGGTGGTCTTCCCGGCACAAGCTGGGACCGCGGACGCACCTGCTTCTCGCGTGGTCAGAGCCGCCCCTGCCCAGGCGGGACGCGGTGTCCTGACCCTGAGCGGGGCTGGGACGGTGGGCTGGGGAAGCGTGCCCATGACCTCTGCTGCCTCCTCCGGGTTGGGCCGACGCCGGGCTTCGGGGACCTGGTCCCGCCTCGGGGGTGCACTGCATCCCCAGCGCGCTGAAACAAAGGCGGGGCCCGAGGGGATGGGTGGGGGCTGCGGGTTGGTGTCCCAGGCGCCCGGGGAGGCAGCGGCCCTCCCGAGTGTCGGGCTAGTGCGCACTTCCGCGCTCTTCTCCACCCGGAGCCCCGAGCCCGGGAGCAGGCCGTCGCAGTCCCCCAGTGGGGCGGGAGCCGTAGAGGGGGAGCCCCGCGCGGTCGCCGGGGCCGCTGAGCCCTGGGGGGGGACGTGCCTCCGGGGACGTGCTGGGCCGCAGGCGTCCTTCTCCCCTTCAGTCCCACGCTGCGCCCCGTCGAAACCTGCCCTGTCACCCCTGCCTCTAGCGCCCACAGACGGCCGCGTCCCTGCGGGGAAGGGAAACGCCTCCGCAGAAGCGAGGTGGGCTGGGCCTCAGTCGGCGGTGCATCTGGGTCGCCAGGAGTCGCGGGCTTGCTGCCCCCCCTCCCAGGGTCTGGATGGCCCCTGGCTGCCTTCGGCCTCACCGCACCCCCTTCCTCGTACACCCCTCACGCACCTTCTCCCACGTCCCGGGCACCCAGGGCCTGAGGACCTATTTCGTCCCACCATCCAATCTGGCCACCGCCGCCCGACACACTCCCTCTCCCCCTCCTCTCCTGGGGACATCGCTGTGCCCTCGGGCCGCCCGTGCACCTTCGCTTCCTCCCAGCCGCCTCCTCCCAAGGCACGGCCCCCACCCTACGGTTCTCTCTAGCAAACGGGTTGAGATTCCCTCACATCCAAACACAACAAACCTGGCGCCCCCTCGGCGGCCCGCACCTCTCCAGCCGGCCAGTGCCTACCCCTTTCCGTCTGGAGCCCGCTCCTGTCGGGTCTGGGTCCCCTCCCTCCCATTTTTGCCTGCTCCTCCCGGGTGTTGATACCTGTCCCCCACCTTTCCATGTCCCCTTCCCTGAGCCCTCAACAATCCTTCCAGAAGCCCTGTCAGCTCCATCCCTACAGCCCTGGGAATTCTCTCCACCCCACGCCTCTCTGCTCTTGGTCCCAGCCCCTCACCTGGGCTTGGGGAGTCGCCTCCTCACTGTCTCCCTTTTTCCAGCCCCCTGTAGTCCAGTCTCCACAAAGCAGTCAGAGAGAACTTTATTTTAAAATGTTGGTAAAATGTCCTCATTTAAGGGATAACTCCCTATCTCCCCCCCCCCCCCTTCCCGCAGCCTCTACTTTCTCTCTATGAATGTGGCCACTCTGGGGCCTCACTTGCGTGGGATCTCACAGTGTTTGTCCTTTTGTGGCTGGACTGGCCTATTTCACTTAGCTTAGTGTCCTCTCCTTGTTTGTTTTTTGTTTTGTTTGTTTGTTTGTTTGTTGGAGAGACAGCGTGCCTTGGCCTCCCACATAGCTGGGACTATAGGCACGTGCCACCATGCCTGGCTAATTTTTAGGTTTTTTTAGAGACAGGGTCTCTTTATGTTGCCCAGGCTGGTCTCGAACTCCTGGGTTCTAGCCGTCCTCCTGCCTCTGTGGGCAGCACAGGCACCACGGGGCTGTGGATGAGCCTCCTGGCAGCTATGAGTGGCAGAGGGGCCTTTGGGATCACATCAGACACTGCCACCAAGCAGGAGGCTTCACAGCTCCCCTCTCAACTCCAGTGAAGTGCAAGCCCTGACACAGCTGAGGCCCTCAAGGTCCCCTGTCCCCTCCCAACTTCCCCACCAGGGCATTCCCCTGCCCACTCCCACCAGCTGCTGGGCCTCCTGCTGGGCCACAGGCCTCCCTCAGCTGAGACCTGCCCGGTTCTGCAGATAGCCAGGGCTTCTCCCCACCTCCTGGCTCGCTGGTGTCTTCCACCCACCCTGAGTCTTCCAGCTGCCAAAGATGTCAAAAGGTTCAAAACACTTGATCAAAACAGGATCACAGGTCGCTGTGAAATAACAGTCATTTATTTAACCAGAATGATAGTCAAATACTTCAAAAGCAATACAGAAAGATACACAGATTTAAAAAACAACCCTTTCAAAACTCAGTTTTCCTAAGTAATTTAAAAAACAAATAAAGGCAACTCAGGAAGTTATCTTGAAAATCTTTGTTTTTTGAGGCCAGTCACCAAAAAGGTAAAGAAGAACCTCCTGCCATGTGATTTCTTCCACTTATGGGACATCTGTTTAGTTTACCTGAAAGTCAAACCTGATGAAAATGTACTCAGTTTAACCAGACACGGGAAGAGTGTGCGTGTGTCCAAGGTTTTGAGCGCACACCATACTAGAGAGGAATGTAAACGAGACAGTTAGTAGCTCGAGCAGGAGAATACGTGGCTGTTAGGAAAACCAAAAGCATGAGAAGTTTCCTGGTTACACGGACAATTCAGACACGTCAAGAAAACCCAGGAAGACGGGTGAAATTATACGGGAAGAAAACATTGTTTTCCAGGTCTTCAAGACAGACATTTCAGCATCAGCTCATAACAAAGAGTTAGAACCAGAGGGGAGAGATACAGGAGCTGACAAAAAGGCTGAAGCACAGCGTCACCATCCCAGGCCCTCTGATGGGGAGAAGGAGCTGGAGGCAGTGGTGCGTGTCCTGAGAATCACAGGCTGCAAGATGTAGCAAAAGCTGAACTTCTGAAACACGAGTCTGAGATGCTCTAAGAGGAAAGCTCTACCTCAAGGAATGAAATTTCCACTCTAAATGAAGAAGACAGCATTTCTGACCTGAAACAAGGGAAATTAAATGGAGAAAATAAAAAAACAGAAAAGTGCTGCAGAGAATTAAAAATCTAAACCTCTTGCAGTTTTACTATGAGCAGACCACTAGCTCAAGAAAACTTTGTTCTAAGGCAGGGGACCAAGCCAGATGTGGTGGCATGTGCCTGTGGTCCCAGCTACTCAGGAGGCTGAGGTGGGAGGATCACTGAAGCCCAGGCATTTCAGCCAACCTTTAAAAATTTTGTAAACAAATAAATAACATAGAGTATGTGGCCAGGCATGGTGGCTCACATCTGTAATCCCAGCACTTTGAAAAGCTGAGGTGGGCAGATCATTTGCGATCAGGAGTTATAGACCAGCCTGGCCAATGTGGTGAAACCCCATCTCTACTAAAAATAAATAAATAAATAGGAGTCGTGGTGCACGCCTGTAGTCCCAGCTACTTGAGAGGCTGAGGCAGGAGAATCACTTGAACCTGGGAGGCGGAGGTTGCAGTGAGCCTAGATCGTGCCACTTCACTCCACGCCAGACTGGGTGACAGAGTGAGACTCCATCTCAAACAAAATTTAAAAATAAATAAAAATAAATAACATAGGGGATGAAAAGTTCAATCTTCAGAAAAACTTAGAAATAATTCTCTTAATTATAACCAACTGGATCACACACAAATTCCTTTCATAAATTCATCCTTTGTGAACCTTATCACAACTTCTGAGCCTTGACGATATCCTTCAACTTTCTGCCTTGTCTTTCTTTTTCTTTTATTTTTTTCCTTTTTTTTTTTTTTTTTTTTTAAATAGGTCTTGCTCTGTCACCCAGGCTGAGTACAGTGGTAGGATCATGGCTCACTGCAGTCTGGACGTTGCAGGCTCAAGGAATCCTCCCTCCTTAGCCTCCCAAGCAGCTGAGACTACAGGCATGAGCCACCGTGCCCAGCCTCTCTTTCTTAAATAACTAGAGATTCTACTTTAGGACAAAAAATTACCATATCAGATTCTTTCTCATGCAAAATTATTCTCTTTTAAAAATCTTTCTTATGGACCAGGCACAGTGGCTCATGCCTGTAATCCCAGCACTTTTGGAGGTTGAGGCCGGCAGATCACCTGGGGTCAGGAGTTCAAGACCAGCCTGGCCAACATGGCAAAACCCCGTGTCTTCTAAAAAAACAAAAATTAGCTGGGTATGGTGGCGCACGCCTGTAATCCCAGCTACTGGGGAGGCTGAGGCAGGAGAATCATTTGAACCCAGGAGGCGGAGGTTGCAGTGAGCTGAGATCACACCGTTGCACTCCAACCTGGGTCATAGAGTGAGACTCCATCTCAAAAAAGAAAAAATGTTTCTTACCAAAACTGCATCTTCACTCCCATGACGCTCTTCATCTCTCTCTCTCTCTCTCTATTTCTCTCTCTCTCTCTCTCTCTCATACTTGCTGGTTCCTTTTTATCTTGTTTCTGTTTCCTTCCTGAATCCATATTTTGAAATAACCTTAAAATTATTCCTTTTTCTCAATAAATAATACATATTTGTGCCTTTGTTTTACATGAAGGCAATTTATTAACAAAATATTTTGAGGAGTCTTGTTCACAGACAGTGACCATTGTGACCACCCTTCCTGCGAGTGCTGTCAGAGGGGACGGGGGTGACGTCCTCAATCTGCCCGATCTTCATACCGGAGCAGGCAAGGGCTCTGAGGGTCGACTGGGCCCCAGGTCCCCGGTCCTGGGTCCTATTTCCTCCTGTGGCCTGGAGTTTGATGCGTAGGGCAGTGATACCCAGCTCCTTGCACTTCTGGGCCACATCCCAGGCAGCCAACATAGCAGCATATGGCGAGGATTTGTCTCGGTCT